CCGGACCAGTAGCAAGTTTGATCAACGGCTCGGCAGAGGGAAGCCATCTATCCCACCAGAAACGGGCACGCAACCCATTCCCCACAGCCCATCTGCTCGCATCAATTGTGTCCCGCCACACATTCCGAATAGCCCTCAAAACCATCGACCCTCGTGGAAAAACAAAATCAGCACTCATCTCAAGTGGCTTCAACTTGTACTTCGAGCAGAGCACTCGACACCACAGAACGTTCGGTTGAGTTAAAAAGGTCCAAGCTAGCTTCATTAAGAATGCCTTATTCATAAGTCTCTGATCCTTCATCCCCAAGCCACCTTCGGACTTCGGCCTACACACTTCAGACCATGACACCATGCCTTATTATTATTTTTTTGGTTAACTTATTGTGTTGGCTATTTGTAATTATATTTGTGCATTGTAATTTGGTTTCAATTTAAATTTCAAAAACTCATCTCTAATTTTTTTTTTTTTTTTGACAAAGTGCATTGTGATATCTCAAAGTTTATTTGGCATAATTTGGTTTCAAATATAACTAGTATTAATACCCATGTACAACATTGGTGTTGAGTTAATGAATATATGTGTAAAGTTATTTATGTCTAATAACAAACTTAACTCCAGAATAAAAATAATATAAAAACAACATCACGAAATATAGATTTTCGCCATGTCAGCATCTAAAACGTGAGAATCTGCCACCTAGGCTCAACACGTTTTGAATTAATATTTAGAGAGGGATTTCAAATTTCTTTCTTATTTTGACAAATTACATTATAGTCCCAAAATTCATTGTCCTTTTATCTTGCATTGAATTATGAATTATGGTGATCGAATTAAACTTACGTTGATGTTATTAAAAATATATTTTTTGGCTATATTTTGACTAAATAATTAAGTTGACTCCACTTTTGATAAATGGATGTTATAATAAAAATCTGAACATACTTTTGGTATAGATAAGATTAGGACTTAAAATTTCTCAAAATTTAAACTTTTGGTGTAATTTAAAGGGAAAAAAATTTGAGCAACCTGATGTTTGCCTACTTTGAAAAAATACAACTTAATCATTTTAAATTGATAAAAAGTAACCTGAACTTATCAGTTATGTTAAAAACCAACCCAGCCAGCCGAATTGCCGGAAAAATGAAAAAAAAAAATAGCATTTTAAGGGTATTTTGGTAATTTAAATTGCCAATAAAAAAAAATAAAACAGAATGTGAGGCCCGATGTCTTCTTTTTCTTCCACTTTGTCTTATGTTTCAGAAATTTTGGGAAAAATGGAGTGGAAGCAAACCGCCGAATTTGCTGTGGAACGTTTTTACCGTTGTGGGAAAAATGTGGTGACGAGAACGTCATGGACCGTCCTCAAACCTGGACGAAGATATATGTCATGCGCAAAAACCCGGGTATGTTCTTCAAATTTTGAAACCCT